ACAAACCACCGTGGGGTCGGAGCGCTCATCCCACTGGATGGACCTTTACCCCCTCACCTACTTCCGCCAAGCGTAAGCCGTCATTTTGACCCGCAGCTCCTCCGAGCCGCCTTCAACTGGCAGGAATTACTATTGCCAGGATGGCTGCAGCATATCCTCGACCCTCAAGTTCGGGCAGCAGATGTCGAACATGACCTCACATTGTCCCCTGTCTGGGCTGAGCGCGTTCTCACAGTGCTCACAAGAGCATGGCAAACGTCTCCCAAAACCATGCAGCAGACCATTATTGACCTCCTGAAGGACATATCTTGCGTTCCTACTATCAACGGCATGAAAGTACCGCGAGACGCCTACTTCCAGAACGCCCATGTCTTCCCTGATCTTCCTCTGGTTAAGCTGCCGTCTGGATCTGCTATCAAAGGCCCGATGGAAAAAATACTCGAGGCCCTCGGTGTACGGAAACACGTCGACCTGCAAATTGTGTTCAACCGGTCCGTCACCGCTCGTAAATGCGCGGTGTAGTCAGACTTATTGTGCGACAGGATGATCAAGACTGGAGATTGGTCCATCGTCGATCTCATCAAGTATCTCGTCGCAGTTCAATCCACGTTGAGCGACGATGAAACTACGCGACTGAAGATGACCGCGGCTTTCTCCGCAGAGAGCACACCCTCTGATGGTATGAAGAAACCAGAGCGGTTCAGAGCCGACCAACTTTATGAACCGTTGGACACGTTCCGCAAGTTGGGCCTCCCAATTCTCGACTGGGGAACGCAGACCAAGTGGAAGCCATCTTCTGAGGAAGGTGAGGCCCAGACATCCATCATGTAACTACCGTTGACGCTGAGTTGCGCTGTAGCGAAGTTCTTGTATAAGCTCGGCCTGCGACGCTTCCCGCCATTGGACACGATTTTAACACTCGCGGCGGAAGCTAACGAAGACAAACGCTCTCAAGCTTTGAAGTTCTTCCTCGATAATCATGGGACTAAATACTCTTCATACAAATCCACAGATTTCTCCACTCTCGCTTTTATTCCAGCTCTTCGTAATAACAAGCCTTGTCTGGCGAAGCCTAGCGAAGTATGTGTCAATCACAGATATTTCTTACGATCATTAACGGCTTCCCAGGTCTTCGCCAAAAGAGAGTGGAGTATCATGGGCTTCTTAGTAGCCAGTCCTACTCTTTCTGCGGAAGACATGATGAAACTCGGAATTCGTGATTACCCGCCGTCAAAGATGCTGGTGGATTTCATTTGCAGCACGCCCCCGGAAGATGAGGAAGTCGCAAAGCAGTGGTTTTCACTCATGGCCGGACACGTAACTGGTATGAATCCATACTTGATGCTTGGTGTATTGCATGCGTTGATCATTCCCGTCAGACTACACCAATTCTCAGCTGCAGACCCTTTCGCAGTCACCAATTGTGCCTGTAAAAAGCAGCGGAAGCGGCTCTCTACGCCTCGTGCCGCCAAAGCAGTGTTATTTCAGGACTAGTAGTGAAACTCAGCAGCTGCACTCTAGGTTGTTTACCTTTGTCGATTTTGGTCACTCTGCCAACCAGTTTCTGAGTGCCTGTGGTACCAAACGTGAGCCGACCGTTGAGGAAGTGGTTCAAATTCTGCTTGAGAATCCTCGTCGCTTCTATGAGACTGCGGAGGGTAGGGATAAGTACGTATATCAGCGCGGCACATCATTTGGTTCTAACATCTTGTCTTAGCTATCTCACCGAGCTACGCAACATCGCTGTCAACCGACGGCTGCTATCATCCGGTACAACGACACGCATGAAGCGATCCGCAATCCTACTCGGATCGCGTAGGATTAGGCACGAGAAGAAGGACAAGACATACACAGAGTTTGACGAAGAAGATGACTGGGAGTATGAGTATAGCCTTCTAACACCTGACAAGGTCATCATCGCGGACGACACCAATAGTTTCCAGTTATTCGGTGAAGCCGTGTTCAGCTGCCCACAAGAAGACCTTCTTGAAGGTATACCCGCGCCTGACTGCAGAAGCAACCTGTCCTCACATACTCACAGATTTTTACTTCGAGCTGGGCTCTCGCCGTTTAAGCACCCTCGTCAAGGACGAGTACAAGATGTCCTCCGAGGTCAAACACACCCGCAAGGCCGCTGAAGTCCGCACACTTATCCTCGAGCGGCTGCCGCTGTTCCTGCACGAGCACACGCACACGCAGACACGCGTCCCATTCAGTTGGCTCAACCAGGACCAGAACTTCGTTGTCCGTGCGTTCGGCAAGTTGACGGTCGTGAAGTCCCTGCTGTACGACCAGAAGCGTGTCGTGAAAAATCAGGACGCGTCGGCGATCGCCTTTAGAGACGGGCGCGGCCCGATACAACTGTGGTTGGCGGGAAACGATCAGGTGGACATGTATGAGGTTTCTACGTCATTGTGCCGCCTGTTGTTCGAGCATCCGCGGGCGAGTGATGCGTTGTTGTTTATGACCATCTTGTCGACGGATTTGCGCGCACTGCGCAGAAGAGGCTACAATGGCGCGTTTGTCCGTATTCTATACACATGCTCCGCTGATACATCCTGCAGTTGACCGCATCCTACAACGACAGAAATCTCAACGCCGAGCCGCAGAAGACGCCGCCCGCGAACACGCAAAGCAAACTGCCCTCGTGCAGCCCTCTCCCGAAGAGCCCGCTGCACCGCCCTTTCCGGTCCCCCAACTGCCCCCTCCTTCAGACGAGAAGTCGTCATCTGCGTCTGCGTCTGATGATACACTCATTCCACAGCCGACGACGCATGACAACGCCCGTTCCATCCGCAACTCGATGCTCACATGGAAACAAAAGTTCACGGGCAAGCCGCCCACGCCGCGCAGCTCGCTGGACGCGCCGCCCATGCCGGGGGACTTCTCTACTGGAGCGCCGTTGCTGCCACCCCCACAACCGATCGCGGATGTGGGCAATGCGCTGCTCCCTCCACCACGGCCCTCGCCGTCGCGCCCGATGACGCCGAACGCAGGGATCACGCCGACGCATAATATCGGTAAGTGCCTCGTAGTCGGAATACAGGTGGGCTGACGTCGGATACTAGCGACGAACATCGATGCTGCGATCCGGGCATGTCGCGAGGAGAAAGGAGAGCTGTTCAAGAGTAATATTGCGCGGGACATGAAGGTAGTCAAGGAGTCGCTGAATGACGGGTACTGCGATACGTCGGGGCAGGCGATTGACCTCGTCTTGGCTGGTATGTTGCACTACGGTGAATTGGAAACGGCTGACATGTTGCCATACAGGCGAAATGGGTGGTATCAAGGTGTTTATGAGCCGAGGTCAGCTCGTCCCTATTTTCTCCGCCCAAGCAGCCGCTAAAGAGGGCACAGACGTACCGCAGCCAAAGGAAGTTCTCGCCCGCAAACGCGAGTCGCTCGCGCGCTTCGTGCATATCATTCACCCACTAGCCAAGGTCTACGGATTGCCCACTTCTAGCTTGCACATCTTCTATGACCTGACAGGTGGCACAATTGCCTTTAATCGCAGCGCGAGTATCTTCCTCAATCTGCGCTTCTTCGAAGCCTGGCGTACGCCCTGATCTTTCTCGTATACCTTCTAACCTGCTAACCCGCCGTTGCGCTGTAGATGACGCGAAGGTAGACCGCAGAGAAATGACTGAGGCGTATGTCTCTTGGTGCGCCCCTTCCGTTAATTCCGCGCTGTCGAGCTAATGTTTTGTGCAGGTACTTTTCACTTGCGCACGAAATTGCCCACAACCTCGTCCAGCCGCACAATGCGGAGCACGAGTTTTGGTTCTCTTCGATCTGCGAGAAGTATATGCCCGCATTCGTAGCGCTCCTGACATCGATTCAGTAGTTTCTGGCTAGAAGGCTGAGCTGACGCCGCTGAATATAGACTGTGATTCTGTGGATTTTGGATTCGAATTCTTTCGTATAACAGGCTTTCATAATTGTTCCAGCGGCGGGCGATCAAGGACTCGTCGATACTTGGGGCCTTAATACTCCAAGATTTGAGATGCATTGCTATCATCTATCATCAAATGAAGTGGAACATTATGTGTGATTTTTGTACGACCCTGCTAACGAGGCCACATTCCGGCTATCTGGTCTATCGATGTCGTGGATAGCTGAAAGTGTTGTGGTCGAGCTTGAGCGAGAATACATGGTATAAGTGGCTATCGTACATTGCATGCATACATTACGAGTATTCCGAGGGTCCGGGCGACGGCGACAACACTTCATGTCTCTCAGGTCGCCTTCTCCACCAACGTCTCGACAATCTCCACTGCCCGCTTGAACTTGGTCTTCTCTTCCGGCGTCGCATGCACCGAGCTCGTACCCCCGCCACACCCTCTTGGTCCGCCATTCATCCACGTAAAGTCGCCAGAGGCGAACGCGATGCCGACGTCCGCCCTATATATGTCCTCGCTGCCAGGTGGCTGCTCAGTCGGGAGTGACTTGAGGATGCTATACAGCTCGCCGACTAGCTGCTGCGTGTTTGCGTCAGACGCGGACAGCGACTTTGGAAGAGCGTCCTGGAGGGAGGGGGTCCCATGCGGACGCACGGCAGACGTGATATGGAGTTCGGGGCGTCCAGGGGCGCCGTCTATGGTGAAGATGGCACTAGGCGTGGGCGGGGCGAAGCCACCAGTGATACCTAGCAATAAAGCCATAGTCAGGAAGGGTGTGATGAATGGCCAAGTGCAGGCTGACCTTTCTGGAGGCGAACGGAGAATTCTGTAGGTGCCATGGTGGTCGGTAAGTAGGGAAACTGCTGAGGCTGCGGGCAGCCTTTATACGCGGTGCGAGTGGCTTATGACGATTATCGATACCACCTCATCCGCGATGTCTTATCGCGCCTCAGGCAGATCCTTGAGTCATAATCGAACAAGTGCAAAGCAACCCTACGCTCCTCTTTAGTAAACTAATCAGTTACTTTGAGAGTATGAGACAGTGAGACTCACACAGTGGCGACTCGCGATTTCAGCTGACGGATGGCAAAAAGATAACACTGGACACTGTGGGGATTGAACCCACGGCCTTCCGCAAAGGGTGTTACACCTGAGATGTCACAATGCAAAGCGGGCGCGCTACCACTGCGCCAAGTGCCCGTAGCCAACGAGGCTGTACAGAACGTATATATACCCTTTTGTCAAAGGCGCGATTACACCCTCGGCTAGATGAGCGTCGGAGATGGCTGTAGACGTCTGCGAGGACGATGGACAAGTTCACAACTCTCGAGCCAGTCAAACTTCACTCGTCTACACCCGCCAAGCGTGCCTCTCACTATGTCACGAAGCCACCTGCTCATTTTTCCCTCATTGGTCGCCTCCCTGCTGACGTCCACATATTCATCCTAGCCTACCTCGCCGTCCCTGATATTCCGGCTTACGCCCGTACATGCCGCGCATTAAGTCGTCTTGCGACTGACGACCGCGTCTGGGAGAAGCGATGGAAATCACTCGGGGGAGACCAGCCGCAACTCGCTGCCATGCTCGACGATCTCGAGTCGCAGTCCAAGGCGCGCAATGCGGTGCGTAAGGGGAGCATTCCGCCGACGCTTTCCGTCGATGGCGACGACGACTTCGGCGACTTCACAACCGTGAGCGCCCCGGCGGATGCGATGGACGATTTCGTGTCCGGTTTCGCGGGCGCGAGTATACTCAGTCCGACTACAGCAACTTGGACACCGCCGAAGCAGACCTTCCGCTCACGTTACATCCGTGCACACAACCTTCTCAAGCCGTTTGTCTCTGCACTGTCTTCGCCTCCTCATTCAATCCTCGGGGTACTTTTTCCCGCGCCTGCGCCGCCTCTGCGGCAGCAGTCTCATATCCTTCGTCTCCTCTCGCTCTTCCTTTCACACTGGGTCAAGCCACTTCGGAAATGGGAAAGCCTACGCTCGTCCCTCCGTGCTGCTATGGACCTCTTCGGCGAAGCCCTCCTTACCGCATTCGATGCAAGCGACAGTAAAGGCGACGAGAAAGCCATGGCAGAGGTGGCTCAAGCGTCTTGGGACGTGTGGGATTTGGCGGAGGGCCTGTGGGAGCTAGCGCGTGCATGGGCGGACAAACAGGAGATCTTTTATGACCACCAGAGCAAGTGGAATTCGCTGGACAATTTCACGTAAGCACGCCAAACATATACGTCAGGGGGAATATTCATAGAGCTTAGGAACGATGAGCAGCTCGACTTTGACGCCATGGACGCGTTCATTACGACTATACTGGCAACACTAAGAGAACAAGGCGGTCGTGCAGTCAGAGTCTTCCCTCCAGACGCTGCGGTGCTGCTCTCGTTCTCGGAGCGGCTGGCTAATGAAGTCGTACGTATATTTACTTCGGGTATTGCACAGTAACGGACGTCAATGACTAGGTAGGCGAATATATCATATCCTTGCTCACGCGGGCACGCGAAATCTCGAACGAGGCGTTCCTCAAGGCGACCGCTGCATCTTTTCGCGAAGCTTGGCGCATCGTCGACGTGATCATGGAAGTTGCGGTTACGCGTTCGGATGCTGTGGTGACGCGCACGCGCGCAGAAGACGTCGTATATCGGATGTTTGAAGCAAACATGGATGAATACCTGGATGAAGAGATCGAATATGTGAAGCATACGTTTGACATGGTGTGCAGAGGCTGGGAGAAGACTGTATGTACATATATGACCCAAACAAGTGAGCTAGCTAACGTGCGTCTCTAGCTCTCACAACACGCGACGACCCAAGCACCAACACAGGATACCGCGCGTTTCCTAGGTTCGCATAATCCAGCTCAAGTAAAGCGCAACGTCCTTGCGTCATTTACGGACGTCCTACTCCTTCCGGTCACTATCGTGCCTCGAACGACCGTCGCGGTAGGCAAAGCATTTGGTGCTGCGCTGACTCATGGCGGGAACGCTGCTGTGCAAGGTATTGCAATGCTGAATCCGCAACGCTGGGGTGCTGCAGGTGGACAATGGGGAGCTGGGAGTGTGCAGAAGGAAGGCTATGGCCAGTTCGGAAGTGAGGGCGCGATGGTCTTCGACATCGGAGAAGACGAGGATGAAGACGATGAAAAGACGCCCTCGAGGATGAAGGAAAGCAAGTCACAGGGACACGTAGTGTCAGGTAAGTTTAACCGCCTCTCAGCCAACCGCATATACTGAAAATAACAGCATCCGTATCGTCCACATTTTCGACGAAAACGGCGAGCTCAACCCTAGCCCCTTCATTCACCTCGGGCTCAACAACTTCATCTACCCGAGCCACGACGCCTAACCCCTCGGCCTCCTCATCGGCCTCCTTCGACAAGTTTGAGCTCTTGCTCTCGCTTGACACCGCGCTGGAGCTAATACACGCGGACCGCGAATCGCTGAAGCGCTGTGAAACATTTGCGGGGTACCCGGGGCAGTACGGACATCGAGTGCACGAAACGCTGGAGGAAATCTTCGTGCTCATGTTACAGGCGCTCGGTGAGCGCCACATTCGCCCGGGCTTCGAGCGGGCGGCGGAGCAGATGCGTGCGTACCGCCCCGCCGAGCACGAGGAGACGAACAGTGTCGCGCCGCTGCTGCAGTTTTTCGAGCTCGTGCACATCGGTGACACGATGCAGAGCATGGTGCAAGTGTACTTTGACAAGGAGCTCGTGAGTTGTTTTGTGAGTGTTGTGGCATGCTGGCAGGCTCATGAACATGCAGGCGCCTCACATCGACAAAACGGACTTTCTCAATACAGTTGTAAGAGAGAAGAAGCGCTTTGAAGACACTTTAGATGATTCTGTCGCTGCGGGTTTGAACACGGGTACCGAGACACTCATGAACCAGGTCCGTGTTCTGTATACTTATTGATCATCATGATCATGATTGCATATTCTCAGGTTGAGCACATAATCATGAAGTACACTAAACCACGCGAATACTACCCTCCAGAGGATGAGCCCCTCGAGCTGGGGCCTACTGAGGGGTGCCGTGAGGCAATCAAGTGTCTACAGATGCATTGTCAGCTGCTCAAGGGCAGTACGAGCAAGGAAGTGTTGGAGGTATTCTACCAGGAGATCGGTATACGACTTATCGCGTAAGTGCCATACTTGGTTTTAACGGCGGTGTGTCTAAAGTGACATGCAGTATATTGCAGAAGCACATCAAGAGACAGATCATCTCCTTGAATGGAGGGTTTCAGGTAATCGCCGACTTGAACGCGTACCATGTGTTCATAACTTCTCTCAAGGTATGCCCATGCAACACAATAATAATATGCTGCCCTTTACATTAGTATAACAGATACCGTCAATAGCGGCCGAATTTTCTTACCTTAAGATGCTCGGACATGTGTATGTTGTTGAAGACGCCAAAGACCTTGCACAGATCGTCCGCGATGTGACGCGTTACGGAGGTGCCTACAGACCAGAGGTGAGCCCCATAACACATAGCCAGTGCCGTTGGTTCTCATTTCAATCAAAGGATGTGTACGAGTTCATTCAGAGACGATCGGACTGGAAGAAAATCGAGAAAGTAGTGGACAAAACTATGTATAATTTGAGCTTCAAGGAGGACTGTATTATTGCGTAGCTCTCCACTCTCCTCAGAGCGCCAAGTATTGAGGCTAAACTGGTCTTCAATACTACATACAATCATTTTGTTTGCTCTAAGACACGACAGTGCAGGGCGACGTGGGGCGGACACTTCTCTCAGACGTCGGACCACGCTTGAGGATGGCGGTGATGCCAGGCGCCCACTTTGTGGCGGCATCCTCGTGCGCTTAAACGTGCGAGGGCTTCTCTCCTGCCACCACCACGAACCGCGATGAGTGCGCGTACACCGTTCCAAATCCAGGACAGACCCCCCTCTACGGTTCAGCCCCATGAAATACCTGCTAACGAAGGTCGACGCCAAGTCGGGTCCGCGGCGTACTTGAAATCGCGCGGTTCCGCCGACCTGCAACGGCTCCCCCAGGAGCCAGCGAACCCAAACTCGACATCGCAAGGCTCCACAGAAAAAAATACTGAAGAAAATCTTTCGATTACTGGAAACAAACCTCTCAACATCAGTTCCTTTGCTGCACCCAAACCCAAACATGCTTTCAACTCCTCTGAATTTGCTGCTGCCCCTGCTACTTTCCCGTCTCGTCTTAACATCGATCAGTCCAGTGCTCGCGAAGGTGTGCCTTCTGCAAACTCGCTAGATTACGGCTGGTCTCCTGCTATCTCTGAGCGCTTTCGCTCTGGCTGGGGCCGTTCCGCTAACAGTTCTTGGGACTCTGATGACGACTTGTCTTCCAACAAAGCGCATACATCCTCTCAAATCTTCGCTTCGAAAGTTCCGCAGGCATCGTACCCTCCTATGTTCAAGTCCGGCGCGTCTTCTGGTCCTCGACGTCTGGCCTCCCATCCTTCCCTCGAGAAAATTAATGAGGAGCCCGAAGAAGGTATAGCAAGCCCAGGTTATCCTCGTGGCTCCGGTTCCGCACATCATGCTCCAGGTGAAGCTGAGAAGGCTGCGCATATTCACCATCGCAGCCGAGAAGCAGTATATGTTGCTCCTTTTCAGCCAACCCTTCGTCGTGTGGAGAAGCGTTTAGCACACTCCGAGAACTCGGACTCGAACGAAGAGGATATACCGGAAGCGAAAAGGCCGAAATTGAGCGAGCAAGTGAGCTTACGTTAGCTTTTGCACCGAATTCAACATGTTTATGCGCATATAGTTTGGTGAATTGGAAGGTTTCGGCACGCCGCCGCCCCCGCCGCCTCCAGTATACGATCCTCCTCAGTCCCCACCGTCGTATTCTGCTGGGGTCCTACTCGACCATCAGACAGATGAGAAACAATACGCGCTTCACCGCCTTCTTGGTACTAGCTTGGATGCCTACGTACAAGATCATTCGACCGCGTACGAGGATGCCAAGAAGAAATGGACCGAGTGTACCTTCGAAGAGTGGATGGCTGGAGCCGATGGTACTGTTGTTACTCTCCTTAATCTTTGATAGCCAGCCATGTGCCCCTTTTCGCTAACATCCCTCTGACGCAGAAATCGCGCAGAAATTTACCAAGCTCATTGACTTGGTGTGTACACTTCCTATCTTTGTTTTACTACATACGCTGACACTTTCCTCATAGGTTAAAGACCACATGACGTT